CCCCCCCCCTCCCCCCCCCGTCCAACGTGGTTGAGGGCGTCTTGCTTGCATTGTGGACATGGTCGTTGGTGTTCTCCCCCTGCCCCAAGCGAGCTGTGATGGCACGCACGGCCGATCGTCCCACACCGATCAATGAAAATGCTAGAAGCCCGGTATTATTCGGCGGGGCACAAAAACCACGGGCGCGTCATCCGGCTGCACCGCCGGCAGGGGGTTTTCGCCGGTCCACGCTCACCCTGCTCTGGGGGGGGACCGGCCGCGGCACGCTCGGCGATCGGGCTCTATCTGCCCCCTGGACGGCGAGCAGGCGAAAACCGGGGAGATACACACGACGGGCCCGGCCGGCCCCTCGACCCGGCCCCGGAGAAGGCCCCGGGTCCCCCTCGCCCGGGGGGGGGGGGACCCGGGGCGGGGCAGCGGGCCTGGGATCCGGACGACCGCGCCACCGACGAGACGCACCGTCGCACCGGGGGGACACTCGCCACCCGCCACCGGGGCCACCGTGTGCGAGGCAGCAGGAGGCGGCCCCGTATTTAACAGAGAGGACCAATGGCCGGCGTCCAAATGTTCGAGTCACGTGTTGTCCATTACCCGCTGGGCCAATTGTTGGCCGCCACCGGCCTCCGTCCGGAGGACCGGCGGCCGTGGGGTCCCGCGCTCGTGGCGGCGAAGAAGCAGGGGTTGAGGGGAGATCTCTGGCTTTCTCCCCTCCCCCGGCCAACTGATCGAGAACCACCACTCGAACGGAGGGCAGACTCCCAGGTGGCCACCTGGGCCTCGTCCCCTCCTCCCCCTTCTCCCCGACACACACACACACACACACAGACACACTTGAGCACTCGCCACACCTGCCGGCATGTCGCCTGCATCCCGTCCTGTGGGCCTGTCCATAGCCGACCCTGGCCCCCCACGTATGGGCGTGCAAACACACCACACCCGAGCATGTTTGCGCAGGTGCATTGTCACTGAAATGCACACATGTGCGCGCGTCGCATGCGGGAAGAGGGACATTCCCCGGGCAATGCCACGGCCGATGGAGCTACCGTGAGACAGGCGCGGAGGAGAAAAGGGCCAGCAGGACTGGGCGCCCCGCATGGGACACTAGTCAGACTTCAATGGGGCCGTCGGGGCCTGGCCAAAACCCGGGGCATCGGCCGCCGAGGCGGTGTTGTGGCGGCGACTGTGGCTGGTGACACAGAAGTCGAAGTAGCGGGCCACGATCTCGGTGACCACCTGGACGTGCGGGTCGCAGGAACGCAGGACACCCGCATATGTATATATATATATATATATCCCGAAATGAGAGGGGAGAGAGAGAGAGAGAGAGAGGGAGAGTCAGCATGAGGAATCCCACACGCAAGGCGAGAAGGAGAGGGGGAGGGGAAATGGCCAAGAAGAAGCAAGAGGGCCCGCGGAGCCGGCCAGCCCCCTGAGCATGTACGCACCGTGAGGATGGGCGCCAAGACCAGCTCCATGACCGGATTCGAGCGGGGAACCACCCCGTTGGCGGACATGCGCACCAGCGACGTGAGCAGATCCATGGAGATCTGGTACTCACCCCGGTGGAGGGCGGCGTCGAGGATGAGTCGCGCACATGTGGAAGGCTGCATGGCGTCCACCGAGCCCTCAATTTGCCGGGTGATCTCCGGCTTGGTGAGGTTCTCGATCTCGAAGCCCTCGGTCTGCATGTTCGGCGGGTAGGCCATGTGCACCTCGATCGCGCGGTTGGTGTCGCACGCAAGCTCATTGCGCAGGGCATCCGCAAAGGCTGGGCACAATCGGGTCAGGGATCACCGGGCGGAGTGCGGGGCAGGGTGGGGAAAAAAAGGGCGGGTCGGCAGGGCGCACCGCGAACGGCGAACTTGCTCGGTGCATAGCCCGAGTAGCCGGCAAAGGAAATGAGCGCCGCCGTGGAGGAGATCAGGATGACATTGCCCTTGCGGCTGGGTGTGGCATCGATCCGACGGAGACCTTCCTGTGAACATGTACACAAGGTTGCATAAATGGCCATGCGCCAGTGCGCGTGCAGGGGCCAGTGGGGGGGGGGGGGATGGATGTGATCCGTGGGCGAGGGGAGTTGTGTGTGTATGTTAGAGAGAGAAAGAAAGAGAGAGAGAGAGAGAGATCAAGAAATTCGGGGAGGGCTGCTTCGCTTGCTTCGGCGCGCAATTTTAGGTGAACGGCGGGCGGCCTGATGACGAGACCGCCACTCGATGCGACAACGTACGTGCACAACATTCAGCATGCCGAAGTAGTTGAGATTCATCATGGTGTTGAAGGCCTTCAGCTCCATGTCCAGAAAGAGGCCCGGGATAGCCACGCCTGGCAGCAGCCGCGAAAGCAAAAGGCCAAACATGCCGCACAGTGGTCAGCACCATGCGGGAGGGACATCCGGCGAGATCGACGCAATGTCACGCACCGGCACAAGGGATCAGCACATCCGGCACGCTGCCGGTTTCGGCCTCGGCCTTGGCAAAGAGGGCGGCCACCTGCTCGGGCGAGGTGACATCGCAGGAAGCCCCGCAGAACCGCTGATCCGGCGACACGGCCACCTTTCGCAGGGCGGCCACGGCCGCTCGACATCAGCCGCCCCGCGGGCGGCAACGGTCACCGACGCCCCGCGCCGGGCCAGCTCGAGGGCCAGCTCTCGACCGAGACCCTTGGTGCCTCCGGTCACAAGCGCATGCTTCGGAGGTTACCACGAAAGGAAGGCCCCGGGGGAGGTGGGTGGTACAGAGAGAGGGGGAGGGGGAGGGGGAGGGGGGGAGGGAGGGAAAGAGGAGGGGAAGAGATATGCACGAGCGGATGCAGGGTGCGTGTAAATGATCGGCCAGCGGAAGGGGGCGAAGCAGGCGCGGGCAGGACGCACCATCGAGCTGTAGTCGACAGCGCGCAGTTGCGGCCGGAGGAAGCGCTGCACGAGGTGCACCAAGGCACCGATGGCCAGGAGGGAGAAAAAGCCAAGGACAAACATGGGTGTGGCAGAGCCGGCGCAGACAGGGACAAAGCGAGACCAGCCGGAGCAGGGAGGGGGGGGGGGGG